TCAGTAATTTCTTTTGAGAGTTTGATACTAACAGAACTTTTTCACTGGGGGTATAGATTATGTTTCCATGCATTCATTTACAAATACGTAAAGGATATAGCTTTTGCGTTGGTTTCGTCTTTGAGGGAGGAGGACTGAGGGAGCAGAGATATTATAAGGGGTCTACAAATACATATTCTCACTCTTTAAACCAAATTTACAAGAATCATATGTAATAGAGTCCTCATAATGGGGCTCCAGGGAGGGTCTTCTGAGGTTCTGGTTGCATTGTTGCAGACTCGGAGCTTATTGCATGAGTATGTTGTTTGTGAAAATAAAGCTGAACATTTTGATATGTGCACCTCTGTTGTAGCAAACTCATATAGAAAAGTTTTTGTTGTAATGGGGTTCTCTGAATGGTGTCATTTAGGAACCACTGATTTATCAAATGTCTATAATGCTAAACAGTGTCAGAAAAAATAGCTTGAAATCAAACAGCTTCTATTACCAAGGAGTTTCTGGTGTAGTAAAAGGAGCCAAGACTCAGTTTATTGAATCATCTTTACAGTGTAACACTGCATGAGCATAGGCTCTAGAAAAAAACGTGATGGCAAAGAAGAGGAATTGAAGACCAGATAACCCAGAAAGGCATTGGAAAGAAGATGGCATCAAGGTTAAGCCTTGAAGTGACAGCTGGGGCTTCAATAGGTGAAGCTTTAGGAGAGAATTTCAGGCCAAGAACATGACAAAGCATAGGTCTAGACTAGAGTTAGGAAAGCATGATGTAAGCCCTGCTAAACCAGATTATTTGCCAGAACATAGAGAATTATATTTGGAAATTTGGGGGCATATTTATGTTTCCGTATTTGAGGCTAGATTGCAAAAGGTACATATTACCTGAGTAAAGAGCCTGCAATCTATTCCAAATACAACAAGGAACATTTTAGGGTTTGTGGATATGAAGTGTTTTGAGATTAATTTGGTGTTTAGTTGGATTGTGATGGGGAAAAAAGGAGAGATTAGAGACAGGGAAAATGGTTAGTAGCGTATTGTAACTGTGTTTGATGGCGGACATTTAACTGTGAAGCTGGTTATGGATAGTGGTGGGAAGGAAGGGGTGAATATGAAGTATAGAAATGTATAGAAATGTGGCAGTTTCATCCATTTATTCAGCAAAAAATTTGAGTGAGTCCTGTGAGCTAGGTACTGTGAAGATTTAGTAGTGATCAAAATACTAATTTCCATCTCACTTTCTGAACTTAATTTACTTCATAGATAATTTACACTATCTTTTGAGATGTGTAACTTTGTATAGGTTCCTTGAAGTAGAGGACACAGAAATGAATATGAGTTCATGTGAGCACCTAGACATTTAATTCTCAGGATTACACTTAATTAGAAGCAAAAATGCTATCTTCCTCAGCTGAAATACTCTTGGAATAGTTGGCTGCTTTGACATCATTGAAGATTACTCAAGGGGACTGCTCTACCTGAGGGTTTTTGCTTCTTTTAATAGCGTGGATCTAGAAACTGCCCTCAAGAAAGCAGACAAAGGATGCTTTTGTACTTTAATTTGGGACGTGTCCTCTGTGGTGTTTAGACACATGTATTGTTGCTGTATTATAGAACCATTAGAGGTAATTCTTCACAAATCTGAATCCTCACTGTTATCACTGGTTCTTTCAAGGTCCTTAACACAAAGAAATGAAATATAGAGAAATTACATAAGCAATAAAATTAAGTAGTCTTGGGGGAGAAAGGACTGGATATAGCCCTGCAGAAGATGCAGGGGATTAATTCATCTTAGAGGGAATTACACAGGTCAATCCCTAAACAGTATAAGCATTTTTGTCTAGGAAAGAAAGGATTTTCTAGTGGAAGAGATTCATCAGTCTCTGGCAGGATTCAGGATACCTGAGGCCTGGATCGTCTCCTCTTACCAACAGAGAAAGCCAGAGAAGTAGCCCACGTACAGCTGTCAGCCAAATCATGAGCAGCTACCATTAGTCTTTGCTGTCACATCTACTTTAGGGAAATTATTGAAGTATAAATTAGGCAAATTTTAGGAGCACAGGAGGGCTCTGATCTATTAGCTTGATCTGCTTATAGAGGGATTCTTTCTAGACTCCTCATGACCAGTCTTCTTAGACAGTATGACTTTGCCACTTTTCCCATTAAGAAGTAAATCTTTCCCCTCCCATTTGATCCGAGCTGGCCTTCTGACTAGCTTTGGCCAACCCAATGCGGCATTAGTGATATTCTTTGAGTTTCAGAGCCTACGCCTTAAGAGGCCTTGCAGCTTCTGCTTTTGGAGCTTCTGTTTAGAGACCTGGGTTGTCAAGGAAATCCAGGTATCCGGATAGATAACTGAGAGAGTGAGAGATCACCTAAAAATGGAAAGGCCTTCTTAGATCCTCCAAGCCAAATAGAAGCAGCCAGACTGAGCTCAGTTCTCACCTCACGGGACATAGACAAGCCATCTTAGCTGAGGCCTGACTAGAAAACCCATGGAATCAGCAATGGGTTACTGATACATCCACAATGCTGACAAATACTGCTTTTCTCACTTGGTTCTTTGGCCAAAAAACAGTTTTTTCTTTAGGTTTTTGTCCTTACTCAAGTTTTTTATTGTATGATCAAAAACAAATGTCCACTGGGATTAGTCAATCTGTAAATATTAGAAAAGACAAAGAAAAGAGCAGTTAAAGTTGGGTCTAATTGAGAGCAACACTAGCTAAGTCTGTTTGGAATAAGGAGACAGATGTTCCTTGGTTTACTACAAAGTTCCAGGATCAGTAACCAGAGTCCCAGGAGCAGGAGTCTGAGAAGTGTAAATGTGCCAATAGAATCTAGGCCTTTTTCAGGGGTGACACAGGTTGAGATCTCTGAGATGCAAATGCTGAGACAGAAGTCTAAAGGTTTCACTGGGGAATGACACTTGGAAAAGAGCAAGAAAGCAGGATTGAACAAGGAGAGCTGTCAGATTGTGATGTGAACCTGACAGTCTCTGCCAGGCCAATGGGTAGGGGGCATGGGAGCATTAATGAGCATTTTCCAGAGCAAAAATGCTCATTACAGTTTCATGTTCCACAGGAACAACTATGCCCCTGTACCAACCACCACCCTGCTCAATCTCTGGCCAAGGGCTGGAGAAAAGCAGGACAGCTGGAAGCTGTCAGCTAGCCAGGCTTCCTGCAGCTAGGTATCCAGTTCCTTTCTGAAGGAACATCTCTGAAACAGCACATTTCTGTATCTACCAAGAGGACTTGGTGTTATCTTATAAATAAAGGATCCTAAATGGTAACTACATTAGTCCTGAAGTTGTTGTATGGGTTGAGTTAGTATATTTGAGTGTTTATTATGCAGAATTCAAGAGAATTGTACGCTGTTCTCTTCTCCATCTTTGCACTGAATTTTTTTCCTCCTTGGGAACCCACAGGCCATTGTTTGTCTGTCATAGTATTTCTACCACTGTATAAGAATATCTGTTGACATTTTCCTCTGCTTAGACTGAGCTCCCCTAGGGGCAGAAGTGTGTCTTACTTATTTTTGTACCTACATAACACTTCATCTCTGAATAAATCCTCAAAAAGTAACCAAATGAATGAGTGAAGAAGCTCTTGCTTTACTGATGCTTTTGTCCATCCAGTTTGAAATGGATCCACTATGTTTATTTCATGTAAATTGTTTTGCAAGCAGAGTTTGTTTATATTTCAGCAGGTTAGAGTTAAGTCACCTTCCAAAAAGTGACCAAATGAAAAGTGGTTGAGCAACAAATGGTGGGACTGAGGATGGGGATTGGAAGGGGCTGTAAGAAGGAAGGAGCTAAAAGGCTCTGAGAAGAGACAGAATAAATTAAAGATGAAGAGAGAAAAGAAAAAGAAAGAAAAGCTGTTAGATAAGAGGGGTCAATAAAAGAAGACAAAGCAGGAGAGGAAGAAGAATGACAAGGAGACAGAAGGGGAAAGAGAGCTATGAAGGAGGGGGGTAGGGAGTCACTCACAGCTGGCCTGCCCAAGGAAGTATCTACCAGTAGAAGCCTCCCCAACAGCTGTCACCATAATGGGAACTGGCATCTAAAGAGAAGGCAAGTCTAGTTTAATTACTTAAATGGCATTATCTATGTCCAACAGGGGTAGAGGAGGTAAAGGGAAAAGGATTGGTGACCCGCCTCCTTCTGTAGGCTGAAAGGAAAAACAGACTTTTTTTATAAAGCTTTCCTAGGAGCTAGAGACAGGAGGCATTTCTTCCCCAGTAGACTTCACAGGATTCCCATGTATTCCTACTAACCAGTACTGCTCTGGTGGGGGCAGCTAGAATCAAACATCAGTTCTTTACCTTGAATCGAGCTCAGAATAGGTTTACTCACCTCCTCCCTTCTGTATTTCAGCCAGTCTCTCATCAGCAATCTTAATGATGTAGCAGGAAGCAAGTGCTATCCTGATCATTGATAGCAGCACTAAGACTGGCTTTCTGCTGATTTGGGTCTTTAATCCAAGTATACCATTAACTGGCTGAGCAACTTAGGGCAAATAATTCCACCAATCCCATCCCTTTAACACTAGCTTAGTGATACTACATGGAGAGACAAAGTAAAACACACACACACACACATATATTGCTCATCTTGTTTCTGCAGATAACTAATGTCAGCTTGGCTGGCCTTGGATTCAGGAAAGACTATAAAGAAACAGCTTCCAATTCCAAACAAAACAAAAAGCAAACTAAAACACAAGATCTTGGTGGTAAAAGGTTCTAGGCAAAGAGAAAATCTAGACAATGACTGCACCAGAGGGCATATCCTCTACCTTTTGAGAACACCCACTCCATTTCCACAGGGAAATTACATTCACTGGAGGTTGCTTTACGACACAGCTGAAAAATTAAACACTTGAACACCATATGTTCAGCTTTGGCAGGAGATGTAGGTGGGAAGAGAATCTCAATGTTAGGGAAGGCCTGTATCACACCCCAGCTGGCTATTTAGTCATGAAATGAGGAGAAACACACAAATATTTGGTTAAAACACCTTTAATGAAAAAGGAAAGACACTAATGTCTCCCCTGTCTGCTCTTCACATTTTACTATGTTAGGAAATTCTGGAGCCTACACCTTTGGAGGAGAAGCCATTACTCAAATCAGTCAAGTCAAGAGCAAAACCCTTACTCTCTCCTCCTCAGAGCTCCTGTTCCAAATAATCATATGTTAAGAGTAAATACTACACCTCATTACAAGACAGAGATGCAGGGAAGACACCACTTGGAGCTCATCTCCCAAAGTCTGGGATTCTAAGAACCAGACGGTGGCAGAGACATAAGCCCCAGCCTATGGACAGGCAAAATGGGGAGGAAATGGGCCTTGAGAGAGAAGAGGAAAATATAAGGGGCCAGGGAATAAAGGAGGGAGTTATCTAAAACTAGATGCACACTAGTGCTAGGAAATCCCCCATAACCCGTGGTGCACTATTGCACACTAAATCACCAGTAATCCAAAAGAACATTCAAGAGATCCATCCAGTCAAGAATTCAAGCTCCCATCCCTTGTACCACATCCCTTTCTTAATCACATAGATTCCCAGCAAGCTGATGCTTTAGCAACACTCCTCAACTCTCCATCATTAGTCCTTCAGCAACCCTCACCAACAATAACTGGTTAAAGATATGAACTTCATATTTCCCAAAACATCCCACTGGAAGACCTCTTGGCAAGAAATCCTCATTTCCTAAATTTGAGAGGTCATGATGGACTGTGAGAAGCTGGCCATGTGCTGGCATATTAACCAGCCAACACCTTTGCCTTGATGTGACCATGAGGGAAGAGTGAGAGAAAAGTGTCCAACTCCCTTCATTTCATCCTACTCCCTCCAGCTGAGACACCACATGCACACACTATTGCATCTTCGCCTCTGGCACCTTTGGGAGCAAGAGGCAGGAGAAGTAATGTACAGTTTGCTAGTCCTCTTCTACGATGGCCTTCTCAGACGCCACCTTGGATGCAGGAGGCTGAAATTGGAAGAAGGAACTCTCTTCTCTTGGCCTCTCTGGATCCCATTGCTGGAGGCACCTTCCTGTCACAGTTCCTGGGCCAAACAGCCCTGCTGGTTCCAGGCCTGAAGCGGTGATGCAGCTGGAACTCTGGGGCTTGATGGGCAGATCACTTGACAGGAAAGCTGTATGCTGGTTCCAGAAACACAGGAGGGGACCCACCCTTACCAGCTGGGCAGGAATGTCCTGGGACAGGAAGTACTGCAGGCTGACCTGGTCACCAGAAAGGAGTGGCACTGGGCCCTCCAGAGATAGCTGCCAACCCCTTTGGGCTGGGCTACAATTCCAAATGTGGTGCTCAGGTGCACCTGCCAGAGGGAGAGGAAAAGAGGAGTAGGGAGAAGGGTCCCCCCAGGGTAGCTGAAGAGGGTCTCTTGGGAATGTGAAAGCTGTAGAGAATCTATTTTCCTCAGGTACAATGAATGAAGAAGGAAGAAAAATTCCTCAGGGAGCCATACCCCCATGAGCACAATGACTTCCAAGCTCAGGGACTAGAGAAAAACCACTAGAGACATAGAATGTAAGAAATTGGAGAGAAAGATTCAAATAAAGGCTCAAATATCTTAAAGGTCCTTCTACAGAGCTCTTAGTTTCTGCTCCCTCAGTGAAAGGGCAGCAGGCACAGAAAAACAGGCTCATGGGATCGTGGGGTCTTCTTTTCGGGGAAAGGGGGACAGCCCTGGAGAAGTAATGGAGGGTGAACAGCCTGGGACCAAGGAAAGAGCAGCAATATTCTGAGGGCCATGGGGGACAAAGGATTGTACCTGGTGGTGAGCCAGCAGCATGTGCTTCTTGAGGGTAGCCCGCTCCAGAAAGCCCTGCCTGCAGAAAACGCAAGTAAAGAGCAGCCCCTCCTTGGGGTGGGTCTTCTGATGCTCCTCCAGGACTGCCTGGGTGGGGCAGGTCTGGCCACACACCTCACAGGCTTTTCGGCTACTGCTGTCTCCTGGCTCCTTTCTCATGGCTTCCTGCATGCTCAGCTCCTCCACCATGGTGCCACTACCTTCCCCTCCCAGGGTGAGTGTCGATGTTGGGCTTGAGCTCCTTTCTGGTTTGCCCCCCTCTTCCGTGCTTCCTGCAACATCACTGCCTCCTGGCTCCATTGGCTGTGTCTGGTCCAGGCTATCAGGTGGTGGTGGTGGTGGCGGCAGCAGAGAAGGTGGTTGAATTGCTTTCTCATTACTGTCCATCTCCTTCCCAACTGTGGGTGCTGCCACCACCGTCCCCCCTTCCTCCTCTGCCCCAGATGCCTCTTCTGAATCACCACGCACCGATATTGCCTTCTCACCTCCACTCTCTGAGCCTCTTCCTGCCAGGGAATCTTCATCAGTCACATCTTCCTCTTCTTCCTCGTCCTCCTCCTCCTCTTCCGACAACTCCTCTTCTGGGGATGGCTGCTGGGAAGGCTGCTGGGGGAAATTTCCTGCCCCAGAGACTGCAGATTGCTCAGAGCCATTCTCCTGAGCAGCTCCCCCGCCTTCAGGGAGCATGGTACCACCGTTGGGGATCTGGCCCCCTAGGTGCATCCGAACATGTTGCTGCAGAGTAACAGCATTAGTGAACTTCTTCTGGCAGATGGGGCAGGAGTTCTGGGCCCGGGCAGCAGGACTGGCCTTGTGGCCCACGAAATGTGCACGCAGATTGCCCCGGGTGGAGAAAGCTCTGCCGCACACTTTGCATTTGAAGGGCCGCTCACCTCCGTGTTGGCCATAATGCAGACGCAGTGCTCGAGGACAGCTCAGCACCCGGAGGCAGATGACACACTGGTTCGGTCCAGATGAGGTGGAAGCTGAAGTTGCAGGGGCAGAGGTGGTGGGAGCTCCTGAGGCAGTAGAAGCCACAGGCACGGTTCCTTGTCGGTCAATCTTCTCTACCAGTTGCTGCAGCTTGGATGTCTCAGACGGTGAGGCCCCCAAGGGCTCTAGCACATAGGGGAAGGGGAAGCTACTGGTGGATTTCAAGTGGTTGGTAAGCAGTGCCCAGCTGGGCAGTGAAGTCACCAGCTTACTTAGCTGCATGCGGGCTGCTGTGCCACTTTCCGCCACCCCGGCGATGGCGGAGCCCTCACTGCCTGGAGGGGTATTTTCATCCGCTTTACTCTTTGGCTCTACTGCTTTCATGAGTACAAACTTATTGAAAGCAGGGAGCGCAGGTGCTGTGGCTGGGCCTGCGCTGGTGGAGAGTAGCGTTAGGCTCTCTGTGGCACTGAGTGCTGTAGTGGAGGCCACCAAAGGCTTGCGTTCCACACCAGCACTGGGCATGGCTGCCTCCTCCTCTGCCTTCTCAGGCGGTACAGACATACCGTAGGGGAGGCCGCTGCTGGTGATGACGTAGTCTAGGTGCTCCGGCACCGGGTGAGGGTTCATCTGTACATGCGGGTACTTCTCACGGTGCCGGTGGAAATGCACTTTGAGGTTACCGCGAGTGGTGAAGCGGTTGCCACAGACATTACACTTATAGGGCCTCTCCCCCGTGTGGGAACGCAGGTGGATCTGCAGGGCACTGTCACTGCCAAAAACTTTGGCACAGAAGCGGCATTTATGCCGTCCACCAGGCTTCTCCAAGGGGCCCATCACTTCCCCAAAGCCCAGCTCACCACTTCCATTCTTTGGCTTCAGGAGCCCTGGGGAGGCAGCGGCCTCCAGGCCTCGGGCTGCCCCAAGACACTGTGCTGCCAACAATCCTGTGGTGCCTGGGAACGCCAGATGAGGGGATGCAATCAGTTGATCTGTGCTGCTCGGCAGGGCCGGGGACGCAGCAGGGGTGGGTTTGTGGCTTCGCCCAACTCCTCCAGCAGAAAACGGGTGCTGTGACCCCAGCGGATGATAAAGGTGGAAGAAAGCCTGCTTAGGTGTTTCTGCCCCTGAGGAGGAGGAGGAGGAAGAGGAGGAAGAAGAAGGTGCCAGAGTCTTGCCAGTTTGGACGGGTTTGATGGGGCTGAAGAGGGGAAGCAGGGGCTTAGTAGAGGACGTGGTCCCTGTCCCAGGTAACTCTGAGGGACTGGTAGGGGTGCCCACTGTCTGGCCAAGGGAGCCAAGCAGCAGCACCTGGCGGCAGATTTGCTCAGTCATCTGCATCTGATGGATCTGTCGCTGCTGTAGCACCCGCAGCTCTTCCAAGATCAGAGGAATGTTCAAGTGTCCGCTGCCTACGCCTGGGGGCGGGGGAGGAGGTGGAGGAGGCGGGGGCACAGGGGTGGATTCTGGAGGTAACGGGGTTGCTCCCAGCTTGGGACTGGCCAAGATCAGGCCCCCACCTCCCCCAGCTGCAGTACCTGCGGCAGCGACCAGGAAGTGCCCCGCAGACTCCTCTGCCCTCCGCTCTGGGCCCCAGGTGGGATCTGTGGGGACAACGGACCCAGAATCCGGAGGGCTGTTGTGCTCTGCCTCCATGACCTGGGGACTAATGTGGCCCTCAGCCCGAGGTTCAGAAGAGGTCGAAGAGTTGTTGGGGTTCTCCTGGCCCCCAATTATCACCATTACAGGGGGGTCAGTAGAACATGCGTTCTGGTGGGCGAGCAATTCGGTTGGGTCAGTGAATTGTGCGCAGCACTTGGCACAGACCTGGGGGTGGTCCTCCTCGCTAGCATCACCTGGGGAGAAGACAAGGAGAGAGCATGGGTGGCGCGGTTTGGAAGGGTACACGGAGGCTATCATTAACAACGGGCCCAGGAACCGCTGGTGGGGGGTGGGGAGATGAGCTCACCATCAGGCCAGGCAGAAAGCTGGAGCTCGGTCCTGACCCGCCTGGACACGAGACACCCAGCATGGGGCGGGGAAGGGCGGGTGGCGGGCACGCTTAAGCTACTGCCCTCCCTACTCCCCCCTCCTCGGGCCACCGGCGGGTGCAGGGAAAGGGCTCCTACGCAGAGAATCGTGCATTTTATCCCATCCACGGAAAGTCTTTCCTCTGGCTCCCGTGCGTCCCTTCCGCCCCCTCGACTGCCCCGGCCGGACCGGCCCTACCGCACCTCCAAGCTTCGTCGGCTCCCCGCAGGGCCCCCCGAGACGAGAGCTTCTCCCGCCTTCGTGCGCCATGGTTGTGGAGAAGGTGGAAGGCCGGGGAGAGTAGGAGACAATGGGTATAGGGACTCGGGTTGGCGGTGGTGGCCGCGGGGGCTGCGACAGCCTGTGCACCCAGCGGCCGAGGCTGCAGAGATGGAGATCCGCGGCGGGGGCAGGGAGCAGCCGCGGAGGGGGAGGGGAGCGAGGAGGCGCGGAGGAGGGGAGGAGCTGGAGCGAGAAAGCTGGGATAGGGGAGACGGGGGAGGTGCTGCTGGGGTGGGAGGAGGGAGCGGCAAGCAGGACGAGGGTGCGTGGAGGCGGGAGCCCGGGGCCCAGGAGGGTTTCCGGAGGCTCAGTGACAGGTGCTGTGGGGCATGGTGGGATCCACCTTTCCTTGCCCTCTGCCAGCTATCCCCCCATTTCCAGATGCCTTTACCCAAGCCTACACGGCCCCACCCCCGAGTAAGCTCAAGGGGGCACAGTGGGAAACATAGTCCTGCTTAATAGAGCAAAGCCGTAGGCATCTCTTATTTTTCTTCAGAAAAAGGATCCGCTGAGCCTGGAAAACGTGGACTCCACGGAGAAGGTGGTATGGTCTCCTCAGAGGTCTCAGGGCCAGAGGGGGAGCCCGGAATATCCACTCTTCATCAACACACAGGCACCCCAAAGTACCCCAAGTTTTGTCCTATCTTCTTCACCTCCATTCCTACCGTACCCCTTTCCCCCCGAGAAGTTTCTCAGGGTGGAGGCTCCATGGAAGTCAATTCAGCAGTCTTTGCGGAACACTGAGGCCCTCTACTCCCTACCCTTCCTCCGCAGAATAATAACCAAATCCAAGTTACTCCACAGAGCACCGGGCCCACACCCATAGAGTTCATGCTTAGTTAAGGAGCCATCTCCTGTTTAGTATCCTCTTCTCTATCCTTCTCCCTCTATTTCCCTTCTCTTGCAACATTAGCGCTCTGTCACTATCAAGGACAACTTGGTTTGGGGAGATGCTCGCCTGCGGAGGTCTACAGAGGCCCACCTAGCTCTAACCTGAGAGGAGGGGAGCTCCTGAGACAAAGGAAAATGCAGTCGAAGCTACTAGGCAGCCTCTTTGTGCCTAAAGCCCCTTCAGCCCCAACGTGGTTTGAATGCCTAGAAAATACTTAACACCTGCCTATAGCCACAGAGGCCGCCTCCTATTCAGAGAAAGGACAGGGGAGGGGTGAGGTGCTTCCTAGACCAGGCACCCTGGCATTCCCTTTTTACCTGGAAATGAAACTCAATGGGTTTTCCACTTCCTGAAAGAGTATATCTTACTTACAGGAAGTGACCACAAATCTTTAGGTTTGTGGTTTGCCAGATATAAGTAAACCCATGTTGTTCTAATCCTAGGTCTATTCTTGCCTGGCTGGTAAACTGAGGCACAGTGGTCAGTCAAACCCACGCATTGCCACCATTTCCCTTTTGGAAAAATGGTAATATTTTAGCAGTGCTTTCCTCCTCAGATATTAGGGGGGACAAAAACTTGAGAAACTCATAACAAATAATATATACATATGAGAGTTTAAATTTGGGGAGAGTCCCAAATATCATGGATTAGCATTTGCACTGTCAATCACTAAGCAATCAAAACAACCTAAAATACACACATACTAACATTAGATCTGTTTTTTATGTTGCTTATTAATCTTATTCATTTCTAAGATAAGCTATTGGATAATATCATTGGCATATGTCAAGGGTAAAGAATCTTTCTGAGGGGGAGCTGAAATAACCTAATGTTAGTAACATCCTCTTCACTTTTCAAAATTCATTTGAAATAAATGTTGATGTCTTTTTCAATTGAAACCATTTTACTGAATTATGTTTTGAAACTTCCGGTAATCATGAGAATCGTACTAATGTGAATGACAGTTCTAACCCAGATGAGCGCCTCTGCCAGGCCTGACCTTACAATGAGGGAGTGGGTGAGCTATTGCAAATATGGTGAATCACAGGTTAGTGCAATGCTGTTTATTTTTACACATATGTAAATTGAACCTTGGAGAGGTTAAGTGCATTTTGCAAGTTCACACAGTAATGCAATGAGGCCGGCATTCAGAATTTTGACTCCTGTCCAGTGCTTTCTCAAACACATCAACATTGTGTGGCTCCCCTAGTGCTAGAGAAAGGGCCCTGTGTGGCTCCTACCTGCCATTTGCTCTCTGGCTTCAGTAAGAGAAGGAATCAGATGGAAGCTTTCTACAGAGCATTTGTTAATTAGCATTGAACATTTGATATCAAGTTGCTGTTTTGTCAAGTCTTCTGACAAGAAAAGAAATACTTTTCTTTTCATCTCCTGGGAAACACTGTCCCCTTTTTTGCTCTTTAATGAAACTTGCTTTCTGATGTGTAATTTGAGCTGCACTCTTCCTTAAGGTAAATTTAGTCCCTGGTGAAAGGTGACAGATCAACAGCCACCTGTAAGACGAACCCTCTATTTCCAGCACTTTGCACTGCCCATCCTGAAAAGGGGGGCAGGATTCTTAGGCAGACGTGAATGAAGTCATAAACACAGGACTAAACTAAGCTGGTAATGGTGTCCCTAGATAGCAGATAAGGTGAGGTAAGCTATCCTGGGCCATGTGCAAAATCTGGGATGGATATTGGACTAAGACCTGGATATGCTTGTTTAAATTTATAAAGAGCTGAAATGACAACGTAAAAAGAAATAAAGTGGCTCTCTAAACTGCTGCTTTAGGCTTGGAAGAGAATGGCTGGGGGGAACCAGGGAGAAAAATAGGTGGGTAATGCACAGCGGGGTGCTACAGTTGAATAGTGGTTCTCAAAGTTTGCCGCCCATCAGAATTAACCAGGAGAGATTTTAAAAATCCCTTTGGCTAGGCCTCACCTCAGACCAGTTAATTCAGGATCTCTGAAGGTGGAATACAGGCATCAGTTTGAGTGTAAAGCTCCTCAGGGGGTTCTAGTGTACAGCCAAGGATGAGAACCACAGTGCCTTTCAGAGGACTGCGCCTCCCAACACCCCTCTATCCTGCTCCTCACAAACCCTACCTGCGTTGGACCTGACCTAGACAGAGGCAAAATGAGCTACTTAATGCTAAATCTGCCCATCAGGCTACCTCTCTACTCTGCCCTCAGCCACACTTCATCTTGCTTAGATCCCCCTTCCGTGAAGAGAATTGGATAAGATTTACACCTGGCTGGGAATTTAAGGGCCTGGTTGCCTTTCCCAGGGTGTGTGCATCTTGAGCCCTATTTCTCATTGTTAGATGAAAGGTTTTGCTCTACATAGAGTTCAAGCATCATCCAGCCATTAAAGAAACAAAGCACACACTATGTAAGCAGCTGCCTAAATTTACTGTGAACATTGGACCAACACTAAGTGGCAGTGTCGATAATTATGAACTGATTCTGTAACTGCTGTGATAGAACTCTTCTAAGGGAGAATGTCCCATCTTCTCATCCTCACTCCTCTCTCCTAAATACATACTCAGACTCCTCTGCCACCCATAGCTTGGTCTGTACAACCCAGTAGACAAACAGGCACAGGGATTTGTACATCTGGTGCTAAGTGAGAAAAATGTTTGTTTCTAGAATAGGAATATCTTAGCTCACACACACAAAAATTGTGCTTTTAATAGACATTTTTCTGATATGGAAGGACTCTGCATTTAACATGGAATTCATACCATTTTGAATAAGGAAGAGACTGTAGAGATCTGAACCTCTCATTGAGCACATGGTTGACAGTATCAGCTCTGAATCAAACAGACCTCAGTTCAAATCCCGACATTTTCTAATCTTTGTGACCTTGGGGAAGTTTCTCTAAGGCTTGGATTTCTCTTTAAAATGTGGGAATGGCCACCAAAGGGAATCAAGTTTTATACAGGCTACTACATGGATGAGCCTTGAAAACATTATGCTAAGTGAAATAAGCCAGACACAAAAGAACAAATATTGTAGGATTCCATTATATGAGGATTACCTAGAACTGGTAAACTTGTAGAGAAAGAAGGTAGAATGGTGACTGTGGGGGGCCTGGAAGGAGAGGGGAATGGGTAATTAGTGTTTAATGGGTATAGAGTTTCAGTTTTGCAAGATGAGAGAGTTCTGGAGATGGGTGGTAGAGATGGTCGCCCAACACTGTGAATGTACTTAATACCAATGAACTGTACACTTAAAAAGGGTCAAAATGGTAAATTTTGCTATGTATGTTTTGCCACAGATTAAAAAATACATATCTAATGGAAGTAATAATAGTGGCAGTTGGGAGGAGTAATGAAGAGGAAATACATAAACGGCTTAACATAGTACCTGACAAATAGTAAATACTCTACAAACATGGGTAATGAGTGTTATTATTTAAAGGCCAAAAGCCAAAGCCCTGCAAGAAGAATGGACCTGCCCAAGGTCACATGGCTTCAAGGTCCAAGCTGGATTGAAAACCAGGTTTTCTGCTACCTTATCCAGTGCTGTCACACCCTACCTGAGTTAACTTTCTATCTGCTCAGAAATCTTTTTTTGACCTAGGAGTGCCTAGAGCTGAAAAGCTCAGGGCTCAATACCCTGAGAGATGATGCTCTCTACTTCCACATATAAAGAGAACAGAGCCCTCGAAACTCTATTTTTGCCTTTTTCCCCCTTTCGCTGCTCTCAATGTCTGCCAACTTCCATTTCTCCCCTTAGATCTGTTTGGCTGTTGTCCTGGTTTCTCCTTCTCACTAAATATCTGGGTTTCTGATCGTTTCCTTTATTTCCCAGATGTGCTACTTTACATTTCCCCTATTCACTTCCCTTATGTTCTCTAATCCAGATTTCTAGACTCTGTAGGGGAGAGAGAATTTTTTTTTCTCTCCAGAGTTTTGTGGGGTTTTTTTTTGATTTTTTTTTTTGAGAGGGCATCTCTCATATTTATTGATCAAATGGTTGTTAACAACAATAAAATTCTGTATAGGGGAGTCAACGCTCAATGCACAATCATTAATCCATCTCAAGCCTAATTCTCGTCAGTCTCCAATCTTCTGAAGCATCTCTCCAGAGTTTTTAAGTAAATAGACTATTTCCTTCTTATCACTTACATGCCATAACTATTCTGTTAGGTTTTGGTGTTCTGGTCAGGGCAGCTGAGCAAAAACAGGTCTGGAAAACTGGTTTTCCAGACAATTTCTTGTTGACATCTTTGGTCACTGTAGAGATGAATCTTTTCAAATGTGCAACAACAGCTCAGCATTTGTTTGTCACATATGGTAAACATTGCTTAAGGGCAGGCCAAGGCTTCTGAGGACGTTAGCAGCCCCTGAGCCTACTAAATAATGTCTGCTGATGCTCACAATGATGCCCAGAGTGTCACAGGTACACCAGAAGGGACACATAAAAGCCCCCAAATAAGAACTCTCCCTACCTAATTTTGGGGCATGCAGGACACGAAAATGTCTCTGGGGTAGAAGGAAAAGTCAGGTTGCCTGAAAGATCGCATAAGCAAATAGAAACCCTGTCTGTGGAAAAGGAGAGAATGGGAAATCCACATCTTTTACCAGAGCAGAAAGGCATTTTATATTCCATCAAATATACCCACCCATCTTACAGATGAGTTCCAATTACATGCCAGGTCGTGTAAGTAGCCCAAGATCTTTGGCTCTCAGGAGATTTCTGATAAAAAAAATCCTTAGGTTTTAAGGCAGATCTTAAGAGGCTGCTACTGCTTCCTTGCTCCATATATTTATGTTTCTGGCTTTTATGGCTCAAAGGCAAAATTGCAGCTAAACTTTTTTGCTGCCTTTGTGTTCAAGCCTGCACTGTTTCTGTGGGGACGGCTTTATAGCAGCATCACCATGCCTTTAGTTGTTCAAGTGGAAACTATTTCTCCAGGGGCTTGAGAGCCACTCAGGGCAGTTGCAAAAGATTTCTTCTGACTCCCTCACAGAGTTTCCCTCCACAGTGGTATGGAGAATGAGTGATCAGACTTGGGAGATGGGGGGAAAGGAGAGGAGAGGATGCCTCTTGGGTGCGTGGTGGGTAGGGGGAACTCAGCACTGTTCCACAGTCCAACCAGCAGGAGAGCAGGACCAGGAGGCCACTCTGAGGCTCCAGGGGAAGTCTCCTGGAGAGCAACAGGAGGAAACATCCGGTGGCAGCGGCTTTAAGGAAGGCTTTAAGGAAGGCTGACGGGGCCCAGGAGGGAAGGATGCCACCACCAGGAACCTCTAAATATGGGCACAGTGGGATCTCAGCAAAACAGTGACTTAAGGAGGATGTGTTCTGCCCAAAACACAGTATGTCTGTTTAGGCTGCTCCACAGCACATGGAGCACTGATTTGATCTCATCATTTTTTTTTCTTTTTTACAACAGGTGGAAAGGTAAGTTCAATGCAGTTTAGTTTTAGTCACTACAAATACATTTTCCTAGAGCCTTTCATGGCACATATCTCATAAAGAAATACTGAAAGTAGGCTAGAGGTTTCTGAGCTTTGGTCTGATTTTAGCACTTGCAGGAAGTGCCACTGTACTCACAGAAAATGATCATACCAGTACCCATGTGTATTAAACACCTATGTATGCTAGTTATTTTTCCAAGGGCTTTACACATATTCACTAATTTCAATTCTCCCAATAACCTAATGAGGTAGCAAGGCTATTCATCCCCATTTTACAGATGAGATAACTGAGGCAAAGATAGGCACAGTATATCAACCAAGGTTGCACGGCTAACCAAGTGGTTTAGCTAGGATTTGAATCCTCAAAGTCTGGCTTCAGAATCCCTGTTTTTAATCCTACACTACATTGTTGGGTGAATCAACTGTTTGCTAAATAGACAGTTTATCCCTGGGCCAGGACTTCCAGACTTTTCCGTATGAATATATGTAGTCATACCAATACGTCCAAAACTTGCTTCATCCTAAGAAACAAGGGGGGACTTGCAAAGATTATAGACTTTCAGACTCTAACCTAGATCTACCCACAATGAAGCAGTTTGGAAAACCCTAAGTTAGTGGAGCATGAGGAACGTAGGTGTTTGTCCTGACAATGCCTGTTTCTGAGGCTTTGGGCAATGTCACTTCTCCATATCCTAGTCGCTCTATTGCCTGCCTCTTATTTACTGGAATGCTATAAGAATATGTGAAATTTTCCTCCTCATAAAGAAAATGTTACTTAAATAAAAAGATGATAATATATCTTCATAAAATGATGTGCATGTATTAACAGGTCGTGGTAATGCATCCCTTTTTTTTTCAGCTTAGCCTCCCTTGAGGCACAAACGTAAGCCCCTTGTCCAGACCTCTCCTCTAGCCTCCACCCCAGGTGACATGGATACACACCTCAAAGCAGGTTGCAGCTGACCGACATTAGCTCTCTCCCTCTGGGAGCTCTGATCTGCTCTCAGCTCAGCCCAACAATGAGAAACTTTTTTCTTTTCTCCCTCAGGGGAACCTTCACGTTTATCCAATTCATTCTCTTGCAACCCAACTCTCCAGAAAGAAAAGGGGGGGAAATTCCACCCCTAAGAAACGGTCTTCAGGTCTGAGGAGGTTACTTAGCAACGGCACAAAGACCAGTGAGCAAAGGGGGACCTGGCAGAAAACTCTTGGGTGAGGAGACAGAGCCAGTTTGAAAACTCCATTTCATCCAGAGAAAAACAAGGGAAACACAAACAGAATCAATCCTGAGCAAAGTCGAGCAGGGCTTCTTCCCAGCACAGGTCATCATCTCCTTACTCACTGCGTCCAATTTCTTCAAGCCTCCAGGGCCTAAGTGCCCCCCCCCACTGTGTTCCCCCACGGCCCGGGTGCCCTCCCCTTACCCTGGCCTGACCCACCACAGGCTGGGATTTAGGGCCCCCCGCTCCCCTCCCCAGGCACCCACCGTTCTCAGACGCGCTGGGACCTTCGCAGTCCGAGATTAACTGTTGGGGTTTCCGCTGCTTTCGCCGCGACATTCCCGGGTAGAGAGAGGTGGGCTAGGGAGGGGCCACGCTCACTTAGTCTTAACCCGGGTGACTTGGTCTGCTCTCTCTCTTGGGTCTGAAGCCAACTGATGCCTCTCCCCAGGGCAAATCACTGTGAAGCAGAGATGTTCTCCCTTCCCAGAGACAGACAGACAGACTCGCGGGCGCTCTCTCTCTGATTCTCTGTCCCTGACTCTCTTTCTCTCTCAATCTCTGCAAGTCTTTAAAGGGGAGACGCCCCCTTTTTTTTCTTCAGCTTCTTCCCTACGCTTCTGCAGCTCCCATTGTAAAAGCAAAAATCCTAATCTTTCCGCACACTCTTTTCTTTTGTACTGTGGAGGAAAGGATTTAACCCTCTCCTACCTGCGGGGGCTCTCCAGGCCTTTCCCTGTGCTGTCTGTCCAGAAAAATGCCCCTGTTTGTTTTTCTAATGCCTCCTATGAGATCTTCAGTGCTTTTTGGTTCCTTCGTGATTCTGTGCAATCTTGTTTGATGAGGTGACTGCTAGTGCATAAACTGAAAGAAGAACTTTCTGGTATATCCTGATTATGAGGCCAAGGAGTCAGCTATTGCGAGCTGAAACCGTGGAGTAAAAAGCTGGCAAAAAGCCATCTTCCTAAAGATGGAAAGTCATCATAATAAATTAATATAGAGAGAGGTTTCTATAATTCATGAAATATGTTCATGTACATGACATATTTTGAATATTACAACTCTGAGATTAGCATGGCAGGTCTTACTACTACTATTTACAGACGATCCCCTTTAGAGATGAACCAAAAAACCCAGTAAGGTTAAGTAACCTATCCAAGGTTGCACTGCACAACTATGGTGTAAGAGGAGACAGGCCTGGAAGCCAGGTTCATCTGACAACAGTCTAGCTTTATATATTTATATAATATATATTATTAAAGGTACATATGCCACCAGACTCTTTGCATGAAAAAAAAAGATTGATGTTAAGGAATCTCATTTAAAATGGCAGCAGGGTCTGTGGCTCTTCTATTTCTCCTACTCCTTCCAGCTCTCAGGGCTGAAGGGACACCACCTCTGAGATGAGGTTAACAAGTTCTGTGGTACTCCACAGTGGAAGTTATAAGGAGGCACTTTCGACTCAATATAAAGGAACTTTCTAATAGTGTAATGGACTCTCCACGGAGTTTGTGAGGTCTCTAGCATATGTACTCACAGAAACTGAAAACAATTGTGAAGGATTGCATGGAAAGAATTTTCTTACAGATATGAAGTTTGACCTTTAAGAATTCCTCCATCTCTAAAACACATAATTTGGCGATCAATCATGTCTCCCCTCAGCCTGCATGCCAAAGAGTGATTCATTTTTTGTTCTTTAACATCTGGCCATGCTGTTCCTACCTGAATTTGGAATAATACTGTGCTATTGGGCATTGAATATCTAGATATGCCCTATCTTCAGCCATAATGCGTATATCCTTTTTTTTTTAACCTTATTTACCTTTTACTCTCCTGGCTGAGATGAGAGAACACCAGAAACACCTCAGTTACGAGAATGTGAATTATTTTGCCTTTTGGAGCTTAGTGAGGTAAATCTCTGATGGCTGAGTCTTCAGAGAAAAGCAAAGCAAAGCTCACTCACAGTGTTGGGTACAAACTTAAAGTTCTTCCTTTCTTCTCTTACATTCAAACTCTTTAAGAAATACTAAGAAAGGGAGAGGGACACTAGAAGGGTTGCTGTGGTAAATGAGGCAGGTACCCAACATCTGGAGAGAATGGGGAGGCACTCTGATATTTGATTTGGAGTTCACTGAACCTCCATTATTTTCCCAGTCCTTTGGGGTCAGGCCCCTGGGTGGCTCCCTCATAATCCACCCTTGGAACTCTTGCTGACATTGTCTAATTTATCCTATTAATGTCCCCGTGGTAGGTGCGGTTACCACTCGGCTACTGCAGAGGACATGGGAACACTGAGGCCAGGAAATCTGCTGAATTTCTCAGTGGAATAGACTAGATGTCGCCCCTGTTTCCATCATTCACTTCTACTTTGAGGAAAAGAAAGTAGAGAAGGAATACAGTTTTTTGCTTTTCTCAGGAGTCTGTGAAATCTCCATGGGCAAATTTGGGAGCCCAGTATTTGTTTCTTTCCTAGGTCTTGTCTGTCTGATCTTTTCCTATTTCTCTCCACCCTCCTTGCTGGCCTTATTGTGAAAGGAAAAGCTCTTCTCCTCTGCTGCTTTCTTCTGCCCTCCCCCATTTACCATTTTTTTCCTTTTACCTCTCCACTGTGGCCTCTTGACCTCCCCACAGAGTTACAAAAGTAAAATCCTGGAAGAGATGCTGCTGTGGGAATGTTAATGAGCCTTCCCCACAAAGGGGCAAAGACTTTACTTCACTGAGTTGGAAAAAAGCCCCTTTGAAAAGGGGTTTCTGTGTGTGGTGAAGTGGAGAGGGGAGGAGTAGGAGGGGAGAAAAGGGAGAGAGAGAGAGAGCGCAAGAGGATGAAACGGAAGGAGAAAGAAATGAGAGGGAGGCAGGGAGACAGACTTGATAGCAGAAGAGAATATTAAAACAAAACTTTTCTTTAATTGGTGATTTAATTTTTGGAAAATGTTGCCTAGTTTTTTGACCTTGTAAACGAAGTGCTTACATTTCCAAGAAACTGAAGAGGCACTCAAGGGCATCAAAGATAATAAAGGGTAGGGAAAAGGGACTTATCCTGGCACCCTACCCCGGGTTCCTTCCCATGTGTGGGAGCCAGAGAGGCTCTAGGAGAAATTTTCTGGATGAGGGAGCTGGGGGTGAAGATAAGCTCCTTCTTCTGGCTTTGTGGTTCCTTCTATGATAATTACTAATTTTATCAACATTTTCTATTTTGGCTTCCCCAAAGGCTATTGGCCCAACAATTTTTTCTCTCTTCAGGAATAGCTTAAAGTACTGTTGAGGTGTTTACATCAGGGAGCCAATTTTCAAGCCTGATCACTTGAGCATCATCTCTGTATCGGTTGAGCACTGGTTGCCTCTGAATGAGTTAAAATGGATGTGAAGTTATATTTATGGTCAAAATTAATTCCTTGAAAAGCAGATATACTGTTGCCTTTTAAAGAAAACCAGTTGTAATGTCTGACTCTCGGAGATTTTTCTGCACATTGTGGTGTCACCATAACACTCCAGTTAAAGAAGCCAGGAACTGGGAGGAACAAAAAGAAGGTGACTGGAATGACATCCTTGGAAGAGGAAGATGAGCCGATCAGGAATGCTGATTCCTAGAGCTCTATACACTCTGGGTGGACTCACTGTAATCACATGGGGAATTTATCAAGAATTCACAGTCCTTGCCTCCATCTACTTAATCAGAGTCTTTGGCGGTGGGGCCTAAGGTTTTTCAATAAACTCTTAAGTGATTCTTTTGCAGAGTCAAGTTTGAGACAATTGTGCTTGTCTGGTGGTTTCTAAGCCCTAGGCTGTAGATTCCTAGGGAAGAACAGTACTGTTGCAGGGAATCCATGTACGTGCCAAGGCGGCCAGGCCTGTAGTCTGAATAAATAACATGCTTCTCAATACGTATATATATATTCCTGTTGGCCAAGTATTTGTTGATGTTGTTGGGACTAATATACTTCTAAGTCATTTAAAAGTGTTTTTAAACTCATAGTGGCTTTTGCCCTAAAAATACAACTATAGTCATGTGGGGGTCCAGCAAATTTTTTGGTATTTTATTCAAGGTGTCTGTAAGAATATAGTAATTTATCCTCCAATCCCATGTATCAATTACTCTTCTTGCTGTACTTATGCAAATAATCAAGACAACTGTTAATTATTTTCTTAATCCAGCTACTTCTAATAAAAATGAGGGTGATTTTAGAGAAAAAGTATTGTTTCAATAATGCAGTCTTATCTATACTAAATCCTAATACTAGTCATTGAGATGTAAACTCGATCCAGAATTCTAGTTTCCCCATAATACCTGGCTATGATTCTCAATTAGACTTTTCATATTTCTAGTTCTCATATTCAGCCATGCATTCTTAATCTCATCAAGTTTGTCCTTCCAGAATGGAAAATCCAACTTCAGATGTTCCTACTTAACCTAATAACAATTTCTTCTATTTTGCCTAGAAGCCACAAAACTGCAAATAGTAATAGAAATGAAACCCAGAATAGACGCGCCAACCTTCCGAGGCCCTCTCAACTGACCAGTGTTGGAGACCTAGCTGCACCCTTTACTGCGCCCCCTCTCGGCATGAAGCAGCCAGAGCGGTCGTCGCTCCCTTTCCCTAGCAGCAGCTAGAGTCTCCATCTGTAGAAGAGGAATGAGACAGGGACCATAGGCTTAAAATAAGGTGAGAACCTCTGAAAAAAGCCCAGGCATAATTGTCACCGGCTTATGTGCTTGGGACCATGGGGCAAATGGAGGATAAATTAGTATATTCTTACAGTGTCTTCTCTCAGGACACTGCTCTCAGTATTACTCCTTTCTTTAGTTGTAGGAGGCATTTCCTCTACCTGGCAAAGAGTTGGATCCTCAGAGGAACTGGATTTTCATTGCAAGGGAACTAAACTAGGGACCTAGAAAGGCATGTAATGTTTCTTTTTGATAACAATAATCACAGTTTAGGAGCATTCTGTGTGCCATGCCCTTTGAATACATGATCTCATTTATCCTTAAAGTAACTTCGCAACGGAAGCATTATATAATCAGTTAGACATGTAGAACACCCCGTTTCACAAATGAGGAAACTGAGTCTTAGAGAGACAAAGTAGCTTTCTTGAGTAAGTTTTCACAGATGATGAATGGCAGGTTGAAATTTGCCCAAGCAATGCCTGACTGGACAGCCTGTGCTTTTTTGCCACAATGTGACATTTAATTGCCACCCCACGGATTTCTGCCTCTGTTACAGGCCTCTTTTTTTTACTGCAAACCTAGAGGATGACTTAAACTTTCAATTTCCAAAGAAAATTTAAAGACCTATGAGTAAATATCTACAACAAATGATGGTTCTTATAATTACATATATGACCACATGTTCTTTGTCCCACTAGCATTAAGGGAGTTAGGCAATAAAAGTAAAGAAAAAGTGCATTTTGCAAAACTTGACTAAGTAAGAAAGCATCGGCCAACAATCCCTGGTCTTATTAGATGATTTCCGCCTGGCCTCTTTCAGGTGGCAGTTGCCATGGTGTTTTAGGGGCAGAGGGAGGGAGTGAAGATCAAG